CATCCCCATTTTAGTATAAATACCCATGTTTAGATCATTGTAAAGGGTTAGCATTTTGATACTCTGAGCTTAGCAATAGATTCACATCTCTTATCCTTGTATTCTCATACTCACCTACCGTTCGGGTAGTTCCAGTGTAATAGCATAGTTACTGAATACTAGTAAGCTCCTGAGTTGGATAATATCTCACTGTTTTATATTCTTATACACTTTTCAACCCAACCCAATATCCCTACAATATCCAAAGCTTGTGTTGGACTTTCGGATCTTCGGGAATAAACCTCAACAGTAATTATCTTAAACTACGTAAAAAAGAAAATGGGTCAATTAGTTAGATACGGAGGGAGTACATAAACTAGGAATAATTGTATTTTAGGAACTTTATGCTATTATAAATATATTTCTCAAAGGTCCTATTGGAGTATTCATTCCCACTGTTTCACATGGTATCAGAGCATGAACAACGTGTTCTTTTCCTTCGTCAACAGGATGTCACTCCTGTTTATTAGGCTTTTGCAGCACAGACTGGAGCTACCCAACATGTGCCGGCTGGCGCACCACGAGGCCTGGTGAAGTAAAGGTCTTCCATTTTTCTCGTACCATTTTCGTTGTCTGCTTCTTTCATTACACACATACCAGGTAATTCTTTTAATTTGAGCCCTTTTTATTCTAACTCTTCTTCTATTGTTTTCTAGTGTGCTACTATATTTATACAAAGGTCACAATATAATTGTGAGGGCTAGGTGTGTAGAGGCAGCACACTTAGCTAGTTTTGCATAACATACATTAATCTTAAGTGAGTTTTATTTATGCAAACTAAGTTTGAATAAATGATTGGCCCAATGCACGAATAAAAAGGTAAAAATGTTTGGAAGTTTTGCATATTGTTTATAATTAGAAGTAACACGACCACATTCTCATACATTGTTTGCAAACCAAATTTTAAAAATATAGAATCACTAACTGAACATTATTTACATTAAAAACAATAGTGTAGAATACTTTGAACTATATGAAACAAATTTCTAAGACTTATGTATAACAAAGGAAAAGATCCTTTGCGCTTGTATAACTGCCAATAAAAAATAACTGAAAAATTTATAAAGTAAACAAAAAGAGCACAAAAAGAACAGGCGTGCAATTGCATTGCAAACTTGTGAAAATAGTAAACATTTACTTAAGGTCCTGCGCTAAAAAAAAGCTCTTACACTTTAGAAGACAAAGCATGATTATTTCCAATATTAACTGTTTTTTACACTGACACTGCTAAAACTTAACATTATATTAGCCATTTGTTTGAAATATCTACCAATTCTAGTACTCCGTATTATTTATTGAATAATGATAAGTATAATGAGCGCATAATTTATGATAGAACTCCAGGAAAAAATGTTCTCGTAAATAATAGAAACAGAAACTAAGCGAATTACAGATGCTTGTATACTTTTACTCTGATACGAATCAAAGCTTCACCTCCTACCTCCTAGCTTTAGGTTCCAGACCAATAACTTAGGTGGTAATCTATTCTACATGATCTCACACCAAGGTCCAATATATAATTAAGCAAAAATTGTAACTAGTATTTTCTATAGCTATTTATGTACAGAATGTTGTTATTAACTTGAGTATTCAAAAAACAATTAACAAACAACCAACAAATAACACATACTTTTATATACTCATATTTCTTAATAACAAATGTGTGAACGACCCTTCTCACTGTCATCGATTTATGAAACACATTAATCCTAGTACATGAGTAGTGGTATATGGGCTTTAGTTTCACGCTTTTTTATTAAATTCTTTTAAACAAAACTCTTTCAAGCCAAACAATTCTTTGCCTGTATATTCCTAGCTAGTTGATTGCTCCTCCATTGCTTTTCGTTCTTTAAAGACCGGTTACAGTTTTTACAAATTATGTGATTTAAAATTTTTATATTTTAAAGATTATTGTTTTCTAAAGAATATTTGATATGAAATGTGGGGGAAACATGTGAATATTAAAAAATACATAGTATAAGGATGTATGTATAAAAAATCACCCATGCATACACATTTTATCATTTGCATAAATATGAACATACTATTTTTCCTATGTTTGAGAACCAATAATAAAACATTGTGCATGTCAAAAATTGACTTTAGCCCATATTAGTAACCGAATGGTCAACCATACTTTATTACAAGTATAAAATTATTCTCATTGTAGTTGTCTTTACACCTCATTCATGAATAGTCTCAGGCAAAAAGTGTATTCAAATCTTAGGTTGATGTGGAAAATCAAGCAGGGAACATGATAGAAACCTGTTAGATTTTGTGGTGGTGAATAGTGAATACTATGGCATATATAATGGTTCAGGTGAACATCCATTGCAGAAATTCCTAAAGGATGTAGAATTGTTTCTCAATACGCCATGTTAGGAACTCCTAGCATGAATGCTACTTTTGGAGATTAAATTATACATTGAAGGACATGGTCATGGGTATGATCTATCATACTATCTTACAATATTCACTTTGGGGAGGGTAGTTGAAAATTGTAGCATATAAATTCTATTAAGTAGTTTCAATTAAAGCTACAACTAAACACTCATTAGAGTTGGATAGGGAAGGAACCCAGTATAAATGGTATGCATGTTTAGGGTTATTCAGCTGAGCCAAGGCCTTAGATTGTTTTTTTTGAACTGTTTTCAGTCCCAGATCAGACCAGACCAGATTAGACCAGACCTGACCATACCAGATAAGACCAGACTTCCGTAGTTATAAAATACACAGAGACCAGACCAGTTCAGACCAGACCAGACCAGCGAATTTTAGAAAACATTCTTAATAGATCAAATGAAAAGAAATTGGACACCATGACCGTGTGTATTGCCCGACTCGTTCACAATATTGAGTTTGGGATGGGTAGATAAGATTAGCGATGTTGTCCTTGAGGAAGATAATTTTACTCTCCCTCCAATAGTCATTGAACATGATCAGGATGTCTTCATTTCTAACGATGTTAAAGAAACAACTCAATTTCAGAACAATATTGAAAATATCCCTAATCAAGTACCTGGACTTATTAATGAAGATCAAGCTCAACATGAGGAAATTGGTAATGATGGAAGAAATTATTATACCCCTCACGGGTACCAGCAGGGGCAACCGCATGGGTATCCTACTCACAACTAGGGTTATGGACAGCAGCCTGGGTAGCCTTCACAACCTTCACATTCAAGGTATAGATAACCTATTTACTACGATTACGATTTCCAAAGCAACTTCAAACAAGAAAAGAAAATTGCTTTAACAAACTGTAAAAGGAAAGTTTTAATTTAAGAAACTCTAAAAGAGTATATAAGTGTTGTATATATACATATGTATGTATAATATTTTTCTAGTGTTTATCCTTGCTTTTGATGATTTTCTAGTTCACTAAATGGGCAAGGAATGGATTAAATCAACAAGATATAGTCCAAAATACATTAAAGGTTTTCTAAATTATGCATTTAAATATTTTCTAAATTATGCATATACAAGAGGAAATCCCCAAAGAAAAGAGATTTTGTGTCCATGTATTAAATGTCATAACGCTCTATGGGTGACAAGAGCAACATTTTTTTTATCATTTAATAGCATACAAATTTGAAAGAGGTTATAATGTTTGGGTTCGTCAGGGTGAGGAGCAAATAAAACCCAAGGAATTGATGATTATTTGTAATATCGTCCCCCAAGTATATTTCCTTTTTACTAAATTATATATTGAACCTGGAGAAATGATTAATGAATTTACGAGGTTGTAAAATTTTGTCATTACTTTTACCTGAATAGTAAAATGCACGTGGGCCCCACATCGGGAGTGGGGACCACACGATATTTCCGGGATCACATATTATATTCTTTTGGGTCTAGGTAATAACTATATGATGGTGTATATTCATGTTGGGTCATAGAAACGACTAAGAGTTGGCCGGGTGATCAAACAAGATCTAAATACGAGTATTGATATTTTAACAGATAACAAGCCATAATAAATTATGGGAACTCCTAAGTTAAAGTTGAGGAATATATATTCATTCTAGATGTCCATAATAATTGGGAGAATGATGTAATGGTCTCATTAACCTTTTCTCTCTATTCATGAATCCAATATGGTTAATAAACCATATGAATGATCCATATGATTGTTCCATATGCTTAGAGGCGTAAAATAAAATCTATTATATCCTTGTTGTCCCATTACTCTTCCACATTTCATTTGTGATGGCGGATAGACACTTCGACACAATCGGCTTTGAATCTCTCTAGTTTTCTCTGGACAGAGATAATCAAGATTCAAAATAACGGTGGTCAGGTCAAAATTGAAGACTTGAATGGGAAGACAATTGGAGTGTATTTTCCCGCATCAGAGTGTGACCCTTGACGGCGTTGTACCCCAGACTTAACTAAGTGTATAATGAAGTCCTTTGAAAAGGAGATTTTGAAATCGTATTTGTTTATGCGGATGAAGATGAAGAGTCTTTTGAAGGATACTATTCTGAAACGCCTTGGACTGCACTCTCATTCCCTGATTCTGATTTTTTTACACTCATGATGACCACCTCGGTGATGTTTAGGGGATGTTGAGGTTATTCCTTCAACCCAAAGGCCCAACACCTTCCTTTGGATTTCGAGTGGAGTTTTTGGTAGATTATGAATGGTTAGTAAGCACGAGCAATAATGGACAAACAATAAGTTAGTCTAATAAGTGAGATGTATCTTATTGAATGACAATAAGGGTCCGTATACAACACACTTCACTACAAACCCAGAGGTCGTTCGTCTATCTTGGCTAAGCAGAGGGGAGATAATTGTTCTTGCTAGAGGGGAATAAGTTGTCGACCCTTTATAATGAAATAAATGTTACTATTTATACTAATAAGGGGTAGGTGATGTTAATGATGTGGATGATTGTGGATGGCTAGCTCAACCCCCAAATTTGTTGCGTTAAATGCGTTTCCCACTATCCCATTAAGGCCCATCCATATATCTTGTGTTGCGAATCAAACTCTTGGCCTGGCCATGGCAATCCGTAACATCATATTTTCCGTTTCTATTTTGGGAAAATGGAAAACGCCTCGTAAAGTACAACGCAAGTGAAACAGCGTGGCAAATGGGAAACGATCGGACGGTTTTAATGCCAAGTGTGTTGTGTTGCCTATTCTCGGGCCGCTCCTCGTTAACGACGTCGTTCTACATGTGACAGTTCCGACAAGTGCAGGCCAATATCTCTCTGTCTCAAACCCCAAACCCAATTTCGCAACCTCCGTTCATATCATCGCCAGAACACCCTCCCAGTTCCCATTCGTCTCGCAGATTCAGAGCCTCTTCTCTGCTCAGGTACCCCTAATTTTGTATTCTTTTGATCTTTTTTACCCATAAATACAATCCGGTATCCTAAGGTATACACTATACACTTTTGAAACCGGCTTTTGAATGGTATAGATTTTCCCAGATTCAAAACCTACATGGGTTGCCGTTTTCGCTTCTTTGATCTCTGAAAGGTCCAATCTTTAGTGGTTCTTCGATGACTTTGAGGTTGATTTCACAGATTTCTTGATTTTATGGATATGAATTTGCTGGATGAATGGGTACACCTTGTTTGGATTTAATGGACTTGGTTGCACTTTTTGTTTGATGTCCAATATTTAGATGGGTATTCCATATTGGCAAGAGTCCTTACTTTGTGATATGATTTAGCTGGTTGTATAGTTATACTTTGTTTGGATGTAACCGTCTGGGACTGGTAATATTCCATGTTTGATTGGGCAGTCTCTTGAAAATAAAGATGCCTGCAAAGGAGAAAGTGGTAACAACCTTATCCATGGAAAGTAACCATTTTTCCACACTTTTGTCTATGGATACTTCCTACATGCATCATGATGAAATCGAGGATGAACTAAATCTAAGCTTTTCTCCTCCGGATATTAACATCCCGCTATTAGATGCCCCTACCCCTTTCCCTGGCCCTGAAGACTTATACTTGGATGTTGGACTTTGTCCACAGCCTTTTGAGTCAGATGTGCATGGTAATAATGGCACCAAAATTGGAAAGAAATGTGCCAAGAGGCTTGATAGTGTCTGGGGCGCTTGGTTTTTCTTCAATTTCTACTTCAAACCAGTTTTGAATGACAAGTCAAAGGGCAGCAATGGGGTCCGCCAAACTAAAGGGGTAGCTTCAGGTTTCGAGAAGTCCGATTTGAATTCAGAAGTTTTCATCGTCCAACATGATCTCGAGAACATGTACATGTGGGTTTTCAAGGAGAGACCTGAAAATGCTCTTGGGAAGATGCAATTGAGAAATTACATGAATGGGCATTCAAGACAAGGACAAAGACCATTCCCATTTAGTGCGGACAAAGGGTTTATCCGCTCACACAAAATGCAGAGGAAGCATTACCGCGGGTTGTCCAACCCGCAATGCGTTCATGGTATTGAAATCGTCCGGTCCCCTAACCTAACTGGGATCAACGAGGATGAGCTAAAGAAGTGGATGGAGCTAACGGGCCGGGATTTGAACTTCTCTATCCCACTCGAAGCCACTGACTTTGAATCTTGGAGGAATTCTCCCCCAACAACAGAAATTGATCCGAAAAGATTGATAAATGGTTCAAGTCTGAATCTAAATGGGGAAGGTGGTCTAGATATGTTGGCAGTCTGTAACAAACGAAAGAAAAACGTTGATGATGAAATATGCTTATTATCTAATGATAATAATAACTTTTCTAATTCCGACAAAATCACTGATTCCTCCCCCTCCCATCAAGTTGAACCGTCATGGTTAAGTGAATGTTTCGGTGTGATGAGGTGCGCATACGGTCCGGTTACTGCAGCAAAAACCATATATGAAGATGAAGAGGGTTTCTTGATCATTGTTAGTATGCCTTTCGCTGATCTTAAAAGGGTAAAAGTGACTTGGAGAAACACGATCTCTCATGGGATAGTGAAGATATCTTGTGTCAGCACAGGGTGTGCCCCTGTGATAAAAAGACAGAAAAGGGCTTTCAAACTCACTGATCCTGCCCCTGAACACTGCCCTCCTGGGGAATTCGTGAGGGAAATTATCCTCCACAGTCGTATCCCAGAGGATGCTAAGCTGGAAGCGTTTGGTGACGAGTCAGGGACTATGCTCGAGATACTTGTGCCTAAACATCGTGTGGGACCCGAGGAGCATGAAGTCCGGGTCTGCCTTCGCCCTTCTCCTTGGAGTGAATAGCAATATTGAGTCAGAATTGCATTGGTTGGTCTTTAAAAATTCAACATATCTTCTATGTATCTCTGGCGTCACTATATATACGAGTAGTAGTAGGCCTTATTTAAGGAGATAAAACTGAGGTACCTTATTTTCAAGTTGTCATTGTTTGTGATGCATTGGTGCTTGTTATTTATGTTTTATTAAAATACTAAGCGTCTGGGATGAATTAAAGTAGTCATCTTTTTCAGGAATAAGGATCTTAATTTGTCAATATTAATTTTGCAATCAGGCGTGTGTATATTGGCAATTCCAAAGCCCCCAACTATTGCGATAAGTAGCTTCAGAGATAATATCAGATCATTGTCAAATACTTCATATAGTTTTTGTTAAATAAGTAAGTGAAAAGTCATTTGGTATCGGCAAAGCTGTCAAATTAGCCCTCTAGGTATGCTAGAAAAGTCAATTAAACCCTTGAACTATAAAAACACCCAATTGAGTCCATGAACTATATAAAAATAAACAAATTTGTAATATAGACCGTTGATTCCTGGTTAACCAGTGAGTTGATTACATGTCAATCCAGGTGCCTATTATTTATGATTTTCCTTTTCCTTTTCCATTTTCCCCCTCTTCTTTATTCTTTTTTTGCAGCCCGCCTCACAACTTCCTTCCCCTTCCTCTATCTTATCCTTCTTCACCTCAGCCTGCCCCCCCACCCCTTCTTCTTTAGCCCGTCCTATCCTACCTCTTTGTCTTCTTTCTTCTTCAGCCCGCCACACACTGGAGATGACGGACAAGAAATCTGGCCGCGGCCCACATTGGAGTTCGTGGAGATGGTGACGACTAAAACAGAGGACGTGAGAGGGGGCACTGAAGGGGGAAGAGTATGAGACTTCGGCACATTTGCAGTAGTGTTTTAAATAGCCGGCCGCTAAGGCTATCAAGACTGCTATATAGTGGTCGCGGTAGGTACCGCTATGGGCCGCTATCAAGGTGTGATTTTCAAATCACAGAAAAATTCCGCTACGCCGTCCGTTACAGGCCGCTACCGGCACTCCCGGTAGTACATCACGAACTGGTTGATGTGTAAATGTTGTGTGAATGATGTGAAATACATTAATGGTGATGCATGGAGTGGAATTCTAAATTAAATGTACATGTATCCATATACATTATGCGATCAAATATTAATAAATATCTAAATTTTAATTATTAAACCGAATTAATTATTAATAAGGATGATTTAACTTTAATATCGGTTGACGAAAAAATGTTGACTTAACAAAACAATTTGGAACAGAAGTGGTATTATTATAGATTATGCAAGTTGCAATGCATGGTCATTCATAGGAAATATTTCACGCCGCTGCGATCGTTACATGCGGCTACAGGCCACTACCGTTGCTTTTACCGCTATTTCAAACACTGATCTGCAAATGGAGATCGGTAGTGGAAGTTCAGCCCGTCAGACCCGCCGGTTCTGTCTTTGGAGCACGACAGAGGCTTCCTTCCCTGAACGGTGAACATTGTGAACCATAATCTGCGGAGGTTTTCTTGCACGGCATAGGTTTTCTTGGCATCCGTGATTCGCTGCTATTAGAAGACGGGACGGGATGTTCTTTTATGGCCTGCCTGCTAACCCAGCTTTGAGGATGAAATTAAATAAAACAAAAATAATTTAAAAAATGAGTTGTTATAATCGTTGCCAAAGATCAAGGAAGAACATGACGGGAAACAAGAGAGAAGATGGAGGTGTGGCCCAAGAAAATGAACTATGGCCTAAGGGGGAAGGTGGGCCTAAAGAGGGAAAAAGGGAAAAAGAAGGGAAATAAAAGAAGAAAAAAAGTTAAAAAATGACACCTAGACTACCAGATCAACAGAGTGACTTCTTAACCGGGAATCGACGGTCTAAATTACAAATGTGACTGTTTTTATATAGTTCATGGACTCAATTGGATATTTTTATAGTTCAAGAGCTTGATTGACTTTTCTATATATGAACAATTGTTATATCGTGAGAGCAGCTCACGATGAGCATGTTGCTCACATAGGCAAAAACACGTGTTATTGTTCACGCGGGTGAACAATAATTTTTTTTTTGTTTTTCATTGTCCAGTAGCAGAGTGATGTAAATCACGTGTAATGAATTGTAACTCAAGCTGATAAAAAAATGTACTTACTGGCAGGTTGATATGTAACTTCTCTAATATGGATTATAAGAAATAAAACATTTATTTCAATGAAAACAAGGAATCTAATTTCTCAATTACTTTACATAAATAGTAAATATCTTTTGTTTTTAATATTAAGGTATTAAATAATGTTTTTTTATTTAAAATCATTTTTTTGCCAAAAAAGTCAAAAAAATTGCAAAGCAGTGATTTTTTTTGTTTCAATAGCGAGAGTTTACTTAAATAGTGAATATGTTTTGTTTTTAATATTAAGACCATAGAAATATTTTTTAAAAATCACTTTTTTTCCAAAGAAATCATTTTTAAGCCAAAAATTATTATTTAAAAAAAAAACGGATTCTTTTGTTTTAATAGCAGGGCTTGTTGTGATGTAACTCGTGTTATAGAAAATGTAACTCGCGTTGACGGAAAATCTAACTTAGGTGTATGCAAAATGTAACTCGTTAAGGCAAATTTAAATGTAACTCACGTATAGAAAGATGTAACTTATGCATCAAAAAGATGTAACTCGTGCATAACAAGATGTAACTTCATATACTATCAAATGTAAAAACAATGAAAACAAGGAGTCTAATTTCTCAAATTAATTTAGTTAAATAGTTAATATGTTTTGTTTTTAGTATTAAGGCCAAAAAATGTTTGAAAGAAAAATAATTTTGTTTTTGCCAAAAACACAATTTTTTTCTTGCCAAAATTCATTTTATTTGCCAAAAAAATCATTTTTGTTTTCAAAAAATAGGTTTTTTTTTGTTTCAATAGCTTGTTATATAACTCGTGTTATGAAAAAATGTAACTCACGTTGATGAAACATCTAACTTAGTGTATGCAAAATATAAGTTGTTGAGTCAAGTCAAAATGTAACTAGCACATATGAAGATGTAACTCCATATACGAATAAATGTAATTCCAGAAATTGTCTACAAACATAATTCACACATCTGAAAAATGTAATATAATTTAATGTTTTATGAAATTTAAATCGAAATAAACAAATTGAATCGATGTCTTAAAAACACTAAAAACATATTGTTTGTCCGAAATAGGACGCTCGTAGGCTTTTAGGAAAGCTACGTTAGAAACTCAACCAGGAAGCAAGAATATAGTACGGAAATGGAAAGTGCTCAAGAGTTTGGTTGCCAGAAATAACATATATGTATTTGAATTACAACTTGCCTTTTATAGGCGTATACAAATAGCAACTGCCAACAACAATAATGACTAATTAATTACAAGATTAATACGAAATTAAACACATAATTAATAGTGCATTAACTGTTGGCCGGGCTGGCGGGTTAGCCTGGCTGGCAGGTCTGACGCTCGAGCTCCTTGGGCGGCAGACTTCCATTGGGCTGGAAGGCAGGTTCCCCGCTGGGCTGGAGGCAGGCTCCTTGCTGGGCCGGGAGGCAGACATCTAGCTGGACAGGTAGGCAGATTGTCTTGGGCGTCCAATACGCTGGACTTCTGCTCCTTGATGAGCTTGATCAGTTGGGCCGCCTTGAGATCTGGATTGTTGCATTGGGTCCACTAGTTGGGCTTTCCTGGCGAGACAATGGTCCTGGGCTTGGGCCTGCTGACCCAAGTTTGGGGCTGGGTCTGATGAGGCATTGAGTCTAGTCCCATAACTCCATCACATATCAAAGAGAAAAAAAATGCAAAGAGATAATAAATAATATTATAGAAAAAAATTTGTGAATATGAAATATAATGGGAAAATGGAAACTAATAATCCAACCTTTTAGCGGTCTTCTTACAATAATTCAACCTTTTGGTTATTCATGAATAATCCAACCTTTGCACCTCATCTTCATTCACTGGTTCCTGACCGGTTGATGACCTGCTATTTCAAGCTATTTTCTTATCTTTGCAAATCATTATATCATAAATCTCATCTTTCACAAAGATAATATTTTGCAAAGATAAGAAATAACTTGGAATAGTAGGTCATTAACCAACCAGGGACCAATGAATGAAGATGAGGTGCAAAGGTTGAATTATTCATTAAATCAAAAGGTGGGATTATTGAAAGAAGACCGTTGAAAGGTTGGATTATTAGTTTCCATTTTCCCTAAAAAATATTACAGAAAAAATATATTCTATTGTAATTTTAGTTCAAGAAAAAAAAGTTGAAAACATGTATGATTATGAAATACAATATACTTATTTTATGTAGATTAATAAAATTTTGTAATAATTTGGTAAAAAAAAATGTAAATTTATTTATATTTTAATTAGTTAAAGATAAAGATAAGTAAAATCACAAATAAATTTTTAGTATTTTGATGTAAAAGAGAAAAGAATTGAAGAAAATAGAAAAGAAAAATAAAGAGAAACAAAGTACTAACCTCGAGGAAAATGAAAGAAGACTTCCATAATATTGGACATTTGGGCTATTGGAAGCATGATCATGGTATGTCGGTTACACGGTATAATTTGCGATATATGAATGTGTGACATGATTGATTTTTATTGAGCGCCGTGGAATTATTTTTAGTGCAAACAATTTTTCTGATAAAATTTAGTTAAGTACATTTATTTTAAGATTATTCCTTAAATATTACTCTACACTTCTTCATTCCAAGATTTTGTTCCTACTTGAAGAATGTGTTTAATTAGATTACTTTAGTACTAGACTAGGATTTGATTGTTATAAAATACACATGAGTATATGACCTACATTTACCTCACCAAATTAGTTCACACAAAACTAGATTTAAACAAACCAAAATAGACCTAAACTGATCATAAATTTCAGTATAATTAAAAACTTTATGATTTGACTTGCTTATTAATAAAGTGATGATAAAGTGGGAGAATATATGTTGATTGAGATAGAAAAAGTTGTATGAATGTATACCACACAAATCACTCAAATGGAAATGGGAATATTTATTAGGACTAGGGGTGGGCAAATCGGTTTTCTTCGGTTTTCTTCGGTTTCGGTTTCGATTTATTTGGGTTGGGAGAATTTATACCAAACTAAAACCATTTTTGTTTCGGTTTGGTTTCGGTTCGATTCGGTTTACCAAAATAAACTATCAGGTTTAGTTAAATTAGTTCGATTTGATTTGTTTTCTTATGTTTATTATGATATTATTTGATCAAGTTCTTATATTCTATAATTAGAAAATGAAAGTAGTAGTTCATCTCATCTTCTTTTAGTGATTATTTAAATAAAATGTAAACAGAAATGAACGATAGAAAAATAAACAATAAAATATTATAAATTAAAACTTCTAACATCTTTTCGATCACTAGAAAAAGATTCTTTTCTCACAAAAAATAAGATTATAGTTGATTAAAATTTATAATATGAAGTATCACATAAAATATTGAAAAAAAACTAAAAGAGTTGGTGATACAAATGTTGTAATATTCACAATTTTATTCAAATGAATCATGCAAAAAAATATAAATGCAATCTGCTATGGTTACCACCAAACTTATTAAATACAAATATGTCGTATTATTAGCTAACTTTGTCATAATGAATGTATGAAATGTGTAAAAATTAAAATGATATATGTTAAATATGTATTTTTCATGTCAAAATTATTTATTTATATATATCTTTAAAATGAAGAGTGAATACATACATACATACATACATACATACATACATACATACATACATACATACATACATACATACATACATACATACATACATACATACATACATACATACATACATACATACATACATACATACATACATACATACATACATACATACATACATACATACATACATACATACATACATACATACATACATACATACATACATACATACATACATATATATATATATATATATATAGAGAGAGAGAGAGAGAGAGAGAGAGAGATGCTCAGGTCCATCCGGAGGGACGGGAGACACTGTCCGAACTTTACTGTTTGGGGTGGTTCCCGGTGGAATTTTTTGATGAATTGTTTTTAGCATGTTCTTCATCAAGTCTAGTTTATCCATACCAAATTTTGGCTCAAAATTCGATCGGGAAGGCATTCAAATAAATTCTTGAAACATATTGCACATTATATAACGATAGAAACAAGTTTGGTTCGTTTTCTATTCTACAGAAGCACCGGACATGAAAAGTTCTCTCTCTATATATATAAAAGTTGGAATCAATCGTAAGTTGGAATCAATGAAAACATAATAGTCCTATTTTCAAATATAGGAACGTTTTAGTTCTTTTTTGGTAATTTGGATACTATTTTGGGAATTTCCTCATTCTATATCTTCCTATCCAGAGAATGTGAACTGCGTACGGAATCTGCCAAATAAGAGTTTCGGAAACTTTTGGAGTATGCGAAAACTTCTCCCCTTGAACATCGTATAAACGAAGCTAGCGATCTCGTTCGAAAATACGATCTGTCTGCACCCATCTCTAGTAACTCTTTCTTCTCCCTGCGTATTATGGACTCCCACCATGGCTACCCTTTCATGACTCGAAGCAATAAGGGTTACTGGTGGCTTCGATGTTCCAAAGTTTCCTGATGAATTTGTGATGGAAGGGCAGATAGTTCCAGTGGCGTTTGTGTTGGGATTGGAAAATTCTTCTATTCAATATCAAGAACAGAATTACAATAGGAGGAGCAAACTCTCACACTCAACTATTACAAAAAACCAATCCTCACCAATACACTTCTACTCTAAGTGTATTTTCACTCTTCACACACTTTTCTCACTTTCTAAACTGATACAATGAACAACAATGGAGCACTCTATTTATAGGACTAGTTTGGAGACAAGAGGAAGTTGCATCCAAGCTTCCAAAGTATCTCCATATCTCCTTCCATGTTCATGTGTTTGATAGCACCTTCCTAGAAGGTGTTATATGTCTCTTGGCAACTTCCAAGAAAGAAGGTGGAAGATACCTACAAATCTCCCCCTCCACCTTTTTCTTTATTTCTCTCATTCCTGCAATGCTCGCAGGCTCCCCCTCGCTAACAAGTATCCATTCGGATGTGGAATACTTTCTCGGTGGAACTATGCCTCGCGTAGAACGTCGAACTTGAGTACCTTCAGCTTCGTCTTCAGATGAAGGCTCCCCCTGCTGAGGAATATCATCACCGTGAGTATCATCATCACCTACTGAACCATCACTCTCTTGTTCAGTAGTATCATGCATCTCCTTGTCGCTGAGAGGAATGATTGATGATACAGGCACTTCGTCTTCTGGAGTATGTTGTTGGCAGATTATTGGAACACACCCATGAAACTCGTTTTCATGAAATACAACATCTCTGCTTCGTACAACTTTCTTCACTTCGGGATCCCACAACCGGTATCCCAATTCTTCATCACCATACCCGATGAAGATGCATGGGTTTGACTTGAGATCAAGCTTCTGTCTCAACTCCTTGGACACATGTGCAAATGTCTTGCACCCGAACACTTTCAAGTGAGAGTAAGAAACATCTCTTCCTGACCATTTCTTCTCTGGCACTTCAAAGTTTAAAGGAACAGAAGGTGACCTGTTTATAAGATAACAAGCTGTCAGCACAGCTTCACCCCAGAATGGCTTAGATAGTTTAGCCATACTCAGCATGCAACGAACTTTCTCCATAATGGTCCGATTCATTCTTTCGGCTACACCATTGTGTTGCGGAGTTCGTGGAACCGTCTTCTCATGTCTGATTCCATATGCGGCGCAATATGCTGAGAACTCTCGGGAAGTGTACTCTCCTCCATTGTCTGAACGTAGACACTTCAGCTTCTTCCCTGTTTCTGTTTCTACCATGGCATGAAATAATCTGAAGCGATCAAACACTTGATCCTTACTCTTCAAACAATAAGCCCATACCTTTCGTGATGCATCATCAATGAATGTCACGAAATATCTGCTTCCTCCAAGTGACTCCTCTTCAATGGGTCCGCATACATCAGAGTGTACAAGACTGAGTAACTCTGAATGGTTCTTCCTGGTAGAACTGAAGGAAACCTTGTGTTGTTTCCCGAATAGACAGTGCTCGCATGGATCTAGGTCAACACCTTTGCCCATGGAAATCCTTTCCTTCCTAGCAAGAGTTGTCAATCCCTTCACGCTTAAGTGGCCTAACCTCCGGTGCCACAAGTTTGGTGATATCTCTTCTTCAACAGCATTGAGACTCGGATGACACAACTTTGCATGAGTTTTATACAGAGTACCACAAATATGGCCTCTTGCAACAACCAAGGAACCTTTAGATAACTTCCACGTACCTTCTTTGAATCTGTTAAGATATCCTTGTTGATCCAGAGCTGTACCGGAGATAAGATTCAATCTAAGATCCGGAACGTGTCGAACATCTTTTAAAACAAGTGCACATCCGACATTGGTTGTTATGTGCACATCACCAATGCCAACAATCTTCGAGAAACTGGTGTTTCCCATCTTCACAGCTCCAAAGTCCCCGGACTTATAAGATGTGAATAAATTCTGGTGTGGAGTGGCGTGAAATGATGCGACTGTATCAATCACCCACTCAACATCATGAGTACCTACGTGTAAACATTCTTGTTCACCATGTGTAACAAGACACACGTCTGATGACAAACTAACCATGGTCTCACCGTCTTCTTGGCTAGTATTTTGACTCGTCTGTGGCTGCTCTCATAGAAACTTTCTACAATCTCTTTTTCTGTGCCCATAATTACTACAGTAATTGCAATATCCTTCAAACCAAGTATTGTTTTCACAGGACATACCTCGTTCTTGTGATCGGCCGCGAACTTGAGAATTTCCTCTGTTTTGACCTTGGCCTCTACCTTGACCTCGACTTCTTCCTCCATTTCTGCCTCCCCCTCGTCTGCTGGTTTCTGACACGAAGGCATATGATTGTTTAGTCCCGGCTTCTTTTCTTCAGGCTTCTTCGTTCATAAGGGCATCTGTGACCATCTGCATAGTCACTTTGCCATTGGGAGCAGAATTACTGAGAGTGACAACAAGAGTCTCCCAGCTGTCAGGTAGAGAGCTCAAGAGTAGTATCGCCTGCTCTTCATCTTTGAGAACCCATCCGGTGGTGCTCAACTGATTCACAAGATCCTGGAATTGACTGGTGTGTTCTGACACCGAAATACCACCTCGTAATTTGTGGTTTACTAATCGTCTCATTAGTAAAGTCTTATTTCGTGCGGTTTTTGCTTGATACATGCTACCAAGCTTCTCCCATAGTGTGTAAGCACTTTGTTCTTGCGCAACATGGTGGAACACACTATGATCGATCCACTGCCGAATTTGTGCGACAGTTTTTCTATTCATTTTTGTCCATTCTTCATCCGTCTTTTTATCCGGTTTCACGCCATTATTATCAAGAGGATCGGCTAAATCCCTCAAATTTAGCAAATCCTCCATCCGAGGCTTCCACATATTGTAATTTGTGGAAGTGAGCGCAATCATGGTGTCCGATGATGATTTATCCATAATAAAACGCTCAAAATATCTCGTACCTTATTTTCGGAGCCGAATTTGGACAAACGGAGCTCACCGTTGGATCCGGAATGGCCGAAAATGGCAGGAACCGGTCTGACCTTGTCCAAAACCGGTCTGAAAATGGGTGAACTGGCCTCCACAAGTACGAACCGGTTCGGTCCGGTTTAGGCAGCAGCCCAGTGAGCAGACCAGCAGGCGGATGACGTGGCAACAGCTGGCTCTGCGCTGGCGCTGACGTGGCGCCACGTGGCACTGACGTGGCACCCAGAGGATGGCTTGCACGGCTGACGTGGCGGATGACGTGGCGCTTACGTGGACTGACGTGGCGCTGACGTGGCGGCTGACGTGGCGTTGACGTGGCTCGTCTTCTTCCTCTGGACTGCGTGATGACGCAATGATGACGCAGGCAGTTTTCCGGCGCGTTTAGGCGGCGCGTACGGCCTCTTCCGGTGGCCAAAAAAATTCCCAAAAATACTAGATTTCTCGTCTCGACGAGACGAATCTAACGGTATGATCAGATCGTGATTCCGAGCAACTTGAAAAATCACGATTTTCTAACCTGTAGAAATTTATCTGAAAATGAGAAAACAGTGTATGAAAACTCAACCTCGCTCTGATACCACTTGTTGGGATTGGAAAATTCTTCTATTCAATATCAAGAACAGAATTACAATAGGAGGAGCAAACTCTCACACTCAACTATTACAAAAAACCAATCCTCACCAATACACTTCTACTCTAAGTGTATTTTCACTCTTCACACACTTTTCTCACTTTCTAAACTGATACAATGAACAACAATGGAGCACTCTATTTATAGGACTAGTTTGGAGACAAGAGGAAGTTGCATCCAAGCTTCCAAAGTATCTCCATATCTCCTTCCATGTTCATGTGTTTGATAGCACCTTCCTAGAAGGTGTTATATGTCTCTTGGCAACTTCCAAGAAAGAAGGTGGAAGATACCTACAGTTTGCAGATTCGGAGTACATGCGTGAAATAGGTTCCAGGTATTGCAAGCTTGCAATTGAGGCATATAACAAGCAGCACAATACGAACTTTCAATTCATGGAGTTAGTCAAGTGGAATGCAGGAGCCCTTCTAGAGTATATCACCTTCAAGGCCATCGATCGGAATTCATTTGGCGGATCGATGAAAACATTTCAAGCTAAAATCTATCACCATCCCAGCAAAGATGAACTTGATCAGGTTGAGGTGGAGTTCTGTCGGTTGGCACCTCCTGACCTTTGAAGGGAGGCAGGTAGCTAATGTTTTAATTTTGTATGCAAGCAATACTTGCGGTAGTGTGATTTTTTCAACTATATCATCTGTATACTTGGGAATGATGTTAGAAGTATGGGTTACCTAAGCTAGTTTTCTCCACAATGTTGGGAAATATTTCATTCAAATGTCCTTGGTCCATTCACAACATAATTTGACATATATATTGAGGACATTTACGTTTGCCAATATATATATATATATATATATATATATATAGAGTCCCGTTCTTGTCCAGCCGGCCTGACGGGATGCTCCGTCCGGCCGAGGGCATTTCGGGCACTTCCCGGTGGAATTTTTTGATGAAATTTTTTGAGCATGTTCTTCATGAAGTCTAGTTTATCCATACCAAATTTCAGCTAAATATTCAATCGGGAAGGCACTCAAATAATTTCTTGAAGTTAACTGGGCAGTTTATATGTATGAACTGCCCAGTTAACTTCAAGAAATTATTTGAGTGCCTTCCCGATCGAATTTTGAGCTGAAATTTGGTATGGATAAACTAGACTTCATGAAGAACATGCTCAAAAAAGTTCATCAAAAAATTCCACCAGGAAGTACCCGAAATGCCCTCGGCCGGACGGCGGTTCCCGTCAGGCCGGCTGGACATGAAAAGTCCTCTATATATATATATATATATATATATATAATGATCCTGTCCAGGATCCTCCGTCCGGCCGCCGCCGTTTGGGGTGGTTCCCGGTGGAGTTTTTTGATGAAATTTTATGGAATGTTCCTCATCAAGTCTAGTTTATCCACAAAAAATTTCAGCTAAAAATTCGATCGGGAAGGCAGTCAAATAATTTGTTGAAAATAACTGCGTCGAATTAAACATATAAAACGCAGTTATGTTTCAAGCTCATTGATGAACTCAAAGTTGACGGAATGTTTGCTCACAAAGACCTCAATTCGGATCAGCATTAATCATTTCTCACAAAAATCTAAATTTTCTATTCTTTCTTCATAGAATTCCTTTAACGTGCATTCTTCCCATGTTGGGCATACTATTGTTTAGTATTTCTAGAGGGATCTACTTCATTATTTTTATCAGTTTTGCTCAAACTGCCTACTTATTTAATTCTGTAACATTAAACAGATTATAACCAATCTTAACCAAATTCCCATAAAATCTAGCTACCCTGTTTGAAGATTTTTTACTTCTTATTCATTTTACTTTTTTACTATGGTTACGAATATTATTATTTTAATGAGAGAATTAATAGGCCTCTTATTCAATTTATCAATATAAATCAACTTTTAGAATGAGAGAAGAGATAGGTTTGGTTTATACTCCTTATTCATTTTACTTTTTTACTATTGCTTACCATTGCTTACTAATATTTATCCATGTATTATTCCCTATGGCCATGGTGAATCCACATGAGCACAAATATTGTCTTTTAACCTCCCAAGAATCCAAATCTATATACTATATAATACGAACAAATACTCGGACGAGGATTTGGGCGGGAACACTATAGAAAGAAAGAAGAACTTCATGGTACAACTAAAACAAGGGTCATGCTAAACTTATTTTTCTTTACTCTGCATTTAATCGTTCTAAAAGTAATATACTTTTGGTTGGTATTTATTTAATAACATGTCAATCCTAACTAACTGTTACCTTCTATTCTGTCAAGCTTGAAATCCCTATTTGAAGTGCAAAACTACTGTGTATAGAAGCTCTATACTATAAAGCTTTTTATATGTAGAGTTTCATTCAAATATGCTTTTTATCTTTAATAGTTTGTAATCGTGAGCGTATAAACTCAACTTCAGTTTCATCGCATTTACATGTGTGATAAGTGGGCTTTTTGTGGAATAAAACACGACATAAAAGTGTAACATTGAAGCTAGGGGTGGGTTCGTAGAACCGAAAACCGAAAACCGAATCGAATCAAATCAAACTAGGGGTGAGCAAATAACCGATACAACCGATCTAACCGAAAACCGATGACCGAACCGACCGAAAAATTCAGTTTTCGGTCGGTTATCGGTTGTTAAAAATTTAAACTTTCGGTTTTTCGGTTGATCGGTTATTATTCGGTTATTGTTATCGGTTATCGGTCGGTGACCGATAACCGACCAAAATATATAAAGCTTTACTAAAAACACTATTTGGGGTAGTTCCCGGTAGAATTTTTTAATGAAATTTTATGAGCATGTTCCTTATGAAATATAGATTATCTCCACTAAATTTCACCTTAAAATTCAATCGGGAAGTCAGTTAAATATTTTTTTTCAATTTACAGCGCCAAAATACATAAAAACACAATATTTTTCAAAAATTTATTTAACTAACTTCCGGATGGAATTTCAAATTGAAATTTGGTGGAGATTATATACACTTCAGTAGGAATATGCTTATAAAATTTCATAAAACAATTCCACCGGGAACCACCTTAAATAAAAAAAATGCTAAATATTTCTACATGTTCGGTTATGGTCGGTTTTTTCGGTTACCGACCGAAACCGAACTTCGGTTTTTCGGTCGGTTAGAGTTATACTATCGGTCGGTTATCGGTCGGTCATTCCAATTAAAATTTTTGGTCGGTTATTTGGTTATCGGTCGGTTATTTGACCGACCGACCGAATGCTCACCCCTAAATCAAACCGCGACCAAATAAACCGAACCGATGAAAAATCGAAACCGAACATAAGAAACCGAACCGAACCGAACATGTTTGGTTTCGATTTCGGTTTTGACTCCTCAAAACCGAACCGAACCGAAAAAACCGAAATACTTAAAAATATAAAAAAATCATTTATTTTATATGGAGTATATGGCCGGTCATGTGGTCAACGCTCAAGACCGAAAGCGTAAGAGGCTTTTTACGAGTCCGGTACTCCATAATCTTTTAACCTAAAATGCAAGAGGCTTAGCTCTCGAAAAAAGGAGCCGCCGTCGAAGACATGGTAGATCGATTCAAGATACAACAACAACATCCAAGCCTTAGTCTCAAATGAAATTGGGGTCGGCTAACATGAATCGATACATGATATCACCACCAAAAGAAAAAGAAAGAAAATGAAGATTAAAAAATAAGCTATTATAAAAAAAGATAATATAAAACGAAATGAATATACATAAAAATGATAAAATTTAAAGGGTAAAAATAATGTTTTTATATATAAGGATAAAAGAATAAAAAACAAGAAAAAAAAAGACGAGGGAAAATAATAATAATAATAATAATAATAATAATAACAATAATAACAATAATAACAATAATAACAATAATAACAATAATAATAATAATAATAATAATAATAATAATAATAATAATAATAATAATAATAATAATAATAATAATAATAATAATAATAATAATAATAATAATAATAATAATAATAATAATAATAATAATAATAATAATAATAATAATAATAATAATAATAATAATAATAATAATAATAATACGAGATCACTACTCCACACGAATACCCCCTCCACTTTGCTCTCTCGATTCAAGATGTGAAACAAAAATGAGCGGATCTCCCTTTGGGACTGCATTTTATTTTGATTTCAGTTGGGACTGCATTTTATTTTGCTGCACTATATCCAAGTTTACTACGCTTAACTTTTAAGTGTCATGCACTAATGTTTAGTGCATTTTATTTAAATTGTAAGGCAGGAATTGACTTTCTTCAGTACTTTGTGTTTTATTTTCCTGCACTTTGGTTATTTTGCACAATTGCACGTCATTTCTTTTTTCAGAAAGTATGTGTCTTATGGTTTAAAACCGAAAAAACCGAAATCGAACCGAACAAAACCGAACCGAATCAACCGTGGTTGGACAAAAAATATGAACAAACCGAACCGAACCGAACCGAACCGAAGTTTTTAGTTTGATTCTACATTTGGTTTTAGGTCAAAACCGAACCGCATAAACCGAACCCACCCCTAATTGAAGCTCGATGTTGTGTGAATAGAAGTTCACCCTTTTAGCATTAAAGAAACCAACCTGTTTTCTCTCTCTTTGAAATAGCATTAAAGAAAGCAACCTGGATTTTTTCTTTGTAATCTAAATATAAGCTCCGCCTTCATCCTGGTAAGTCGCTATCTCCTTCCTCATATTAATGATTTTTAGTATGAGTTACTCGATTTCTGAGGACTGGAATCTAATTGCATGTTTTTTGTATTGTTTATGGTTTTTATATTTGTTTCGGAAAACTGGAATCCGTTTTTTTAATTCCACTTGCCTCATCACTTTTAGCATGACTTTTGTACTGGAGGACTGGAATCGATTTTGGCTACAAATTAAATTAGCAGCAACATCTTCGTTCTTATTTATTTCTCGTGGAGCACCATCATGTTGATTTCACCTACTCATATCAACCAGGCTACATTCTATCATTTCTAGCTATATTCTGAATTAACTTTAAATAGCTATGATTAATGAGCATCCTAATTTATCTCAAACACTAACATTATAACCTAAGTAACATCTATATATGGTATGGCATTCTAATGTATACACACCCATAATATACACTGGATGTTCATAAACTATTATCAATATTGCAACAAAAAGTTAGGATTTTCACCCCATTCTTAAGGAAAGTTAGTGTTCTTACCTCATGATTATACTCATATATTGAGTTTGCACCATGTGAATTTAACATACTCATTATAATCATGTGGCCAGGAGGTGAGTTTGAGGTTTCTATTAGGGTGGTTTCCCTACCTTTGCTGGCCAATGATTTTCTCCAGTTTTGATGAGTTTGCTGGGATGGAGGGTTTTAGAGGCCTTGCTAAATTATTCGTTGCTTGAAACATCCTTTTACACCTTTCATGGACCATGAATCTCAATTTGTTGCAACTCTATTTAGAAAACTGCTTTGAAGAAAGGATTTGAAAAAAGCAAGGAAAGTAGAACATATGCCATCTGTCCCAATGTCAAGTTTTCTTTTTCCTCTCTTGCCGTCGAAAACATACTTCATTTTTCTTTTCAAGGAAGATGATGTGTCAACAGAACGTATTCCATTGTCTTAGTACACTTCGGAAGAAAATGTTAAGTTTCTTTGTTAAAGATGGAGCCTTGTGTTACATTAATTAAAAACTTCAGAATCTTTTTGGTGATTCTCAAGACCGTGATGAGACTAATGAGATGTATGAACGCAAAGAGGGTAGCAATCCATTGGAAGGAGTAATGGCACCGTCTGTTCTTGTTATGAACTTGAAGTTTGATTCTCTCCCTCCAAATGAGTGGTGAATTTGAATAGTTTGCAGGCAAAAGTTGCTTTTA